ACAAGTAACTCTCTGGTTTTCCCAGCACCACTTATTGAAGAGATTGTCTTTTTCCCATTGTCTATTATTGCCTCCCTTGTCATAGATGAACTGACCGTAAGTTTTTAGGTTTATTTCTGGGGTGTCCGTTCTGTTCCAATTATCCATGTGTCTGTTTCTGTTCCAGTATCATACAATTTTGATTACTGTAGCTTGGTAACAGTCTGAAGTCAGGGTGCATGATACCTCCAGTTCTGTTCTTCTTTCTCAAGATTGTTTTGGCAATTTGGGGTCTTTTGTGTTTCCATACAAATTTTAAAATTATTTGTTCTAGTTCTGTGAAAAATGTCATTGGTATTTTTGATGGGATTGCACTGAATCTGTGGATTGCATTGAATCTGCAGATTGCCTTGGGTAGTATGATCATTTTAATAATATTGATTCTTCCAATCCAAGAACATGGTATATCTTTTCATCTATTTGTGTAATCTTCAGTTTCTTTTATCAGTGTCTTAGAGTTTTCTGAATAAAGAAAAAAGCCTTTTACCTTCTTAAGTAGGTTTATTCCTAGGTATTTTATTCTCTTTGATATGATGGTAAATGGGACTGTTTCCTTAATTTTTCTTTCTGATAGTTCATTGTTAGTGTATAGAAATGCAACCGATTTCTGTATATTCATTTTGTATCTTGTAATCTTACAAAATTGATTGATAAGCTCAGTAGTTTTCTGGTGGTATCTTAAGGATTTGCTACGTATAGTATCATATCATCTGCAAACAGTGACATTTTACTTCTTTCCAATTTGTATTACTTTTATTTCTTTTCCTTCTCTGTTTGTTGTGGCTAAGATCTACAGAATTATGTTGAATAAAAGTGGCAAGAGTGGACACCCTTGTCTTGTTCCTGATCTTAGAAGAAATGTTTTCAGCTTTTCACCTTTCAGTATGATGTTAGCTATGGGTCTTTTATATATGGCCTTTATTATGTGGAGGCATGTTCTGTCTATGCCAACCTACTGAATGGGAGAAGATAGTTGCAAATGATACGACTGATAAGGGGTTAAGATCCAATACATATAAATAGCTCATAAAATTCAACATAAAAAAAAGGAAACCACACACCATAATAGAAATGGGCAGAAGAACTGAGTAGACATTTTTCCAAAGAGGAAATGCAGATGACCAACAGGTACATGAAAAGATGCTCAACATTGCTAATCATCCAGGAAATACAAATCAAAACCACAATAAAATGTCACCTCATACCTGTCAGAATGGCTACCATCAAAAAGAACACAAATCACAAATGTTGGCAAGGATGTGGAGAAAGGGAACCCTCATACACTATTGGTGGGAATGTAAATTGGTTCGGCCACTGTGGAAAACAGTATGGAGATTTCTCAAAAAGCTAAAGATAGAAATACCATATGACCCAGCAATTCCACTCCTCGGTACATACCCAAAAAAGCCCCAAAAGACTAATTCAAAAAGATACACGCACCCCAATGTTCACAGCAGTGTTACTTACAATTGCCAAGGTATGGAAGCACCAAAAGTGTCCCTCCACAGATGAATAGGTAAAGAAGATGTGGTATATAGATACACAGTGAAATACTACTCAGTTGTAAAAAAAATTTGCCATTTCAGCAACATGGATGTACTTAGTGGGCATTATGCTGAGTGAAATAAGTCAGACAGAGAAAGACAAATACTATACATCACTTATATGTGGAATCTAAAAAATTTTTAAAAACTTATTTTTTGAATACAACAACAACAAAAAAGTAGACTCACAGAGGTAGAGAATAAACTAGCAATTACCAGCGGGGAGACTGAAGGGGGACGTGGCAATATAGGGGTAGAGGATTAAAACATGGGTTATTATGGGATTATATGAAATCATGTATGTGAAATTTTTGAAAATTATAAAACTACTATGGAATTTGAAAAATCTTTCATTCAGTAAAAAAAGAAAAATTAAAATACCAGCCGGCTCTGGAATCATATTACTTTATAATTTATTGCTAAAATTTCATAAGAAAGTTCAGTTTAAGAAGAAAATAAAAATCTAAAGTTCACCACTGTTTATCTATACTAAAAGTAATTGCTGTCCTCAAAAAAAAAAAAAAAGTCGTATGCCCTGACATTATGCAACCCATATGATATTCTATGTATCGTTACAGAATTATTCATTAGGTAGACATGCATCTGAATCACTCAAAATATTGCTATAATTTTAATAAGAAATTAACAAGGAGTTCATCAGATCACGCTAACAAATGGTGATTTGTATACATTTGCAAAACCCTTCCATTATGTAGTTTGGAAAATAAAGGTGCTTCCACTAAAAACCATTGATAATTTGGACAATAGCTGAATTATTTACATGTATTCTTCAGGATTAGTGGGATCTCACTTAATTGACAATGAAGTGCAAAATACCAGTTAACCATGATTTAACTGATAATGCAATGCATGTTTTAACATAACTTGTTGTTTGTTTTTAACTGCCAAGGTAAGATTTTTAGTTCATATTGGAATCCTACTCTTTAAGAAAAACGAATTATGTGGTAAAAGTTGCCTAGATTTCAGCAAGCATTTTTTTTATAATAATGAATTTAGGGGACTAATTCTACAGAATCTTTCTTCATTGAGGAATATCATGATTCACAGTTACCTATGTCTATAATATAAATCAATTCATAATGAAAGCTTACTTATAAAGCAGACCTACCTGGATTCCATATAAATATTTCTAAATTAAAGAGGTGTCCATCATTTATTCTCAAGTTTAAATAGAAAAAGAAAATTGTATACTTGCAATTTAATTAAGATGACCATTTACTACTAAAAAGTCTTTATATATAAGTAACTAAATTCCATTACCTTATAAATATCCAAAAATCCACACTGGTGGTCAAATCTTGTGTACAGTTCATTCAGCATGCTGATCACTTGCATAGGGGTACACTGGGCACATATGGCTGTGAAGCCAACAATGTCTGAAAAGAGCATGGTGACATCATCAAACTTTCTGGCCTGCACTTGCTGCCCTTGCCACAACTGCTGGGCTACATCACCAGGGAAGATAGAATATAGAAGATCCACTGTTTTTTTTTTCTCTTCTTCCAGGGCCTGGTGAGTTCTTTCTAAAGTTGCTTTTAATTTATCCATCCTCTTCTTCAAGCCATCTTGGGCCTTTGCCTGCTCGCCAACCAAAATGACATCTCGGGTAGCGTCATGGATTGGAATGTCTGAGAGGTGCAGCCCTCGTCCCATAAGTTCATCCAGCTTGTCCACACATGGAGAGCCCAAGAATAAAATGGAATTTGATTCTGGGACATGGATCATTTGTCCTTTGACTTCCATCACCTGCAAAATTAACATGTAATTTTGATCAGCGCTCTTCACATAGTAGGTTCACAAAAATTTATCATCTGATGTAGAGGAAGAACAAAAAATGTTTTATTAGCTCTACTGACTTTCTGCACTCATAGAAGCGGATTCAAATGTGATTTACAGCCAATGTAAAAGTTATGTTCAAGATAGAAACATTCATTGCTTTTTTCCCACTTGGCCACTGTCTTAAGATAATGAACAAATTTGGAAAGTGAGATAAATGAGAAATGAAACAGGAAAACGTTTTCATTCAAAATGAAGTTGCACCCTTGTACATCATGAAACTGTCTCATGAGCCAGTTCAAAAACTTTCAACTTGCTTAATAATAATAGAA